TTTTTTTTTTTTTTTTTTTTTTTTTTTTTTTTTTTTTAAGATATAAGGGCTTGAAAAGAGGTTTTATGCTTCCATTTCCTGTAAATGGAGTGATGTAGTGTAAGTAAATGTGAAATTATACTATATAACCAGACTCCCACTCAATGAAAGAGGTCTTATTTAACTCCTGTTTCACACTATATTTATGGCACATGTTGCACTTCAATATTATTGCTGGATAGCTAACGGCATTTGACAATTACTGTGAAAAAAATCTCCATAAACAATGCATACAAAGATACCTGTCTCCAGTAGTACAGATGCATATAGTAATTTGTTTGAATTTATTTAGAATTATGTTTACAAAAAGGCACAGAGCACAACTTCCAGATACAGCTTTCAGCTAATCAACTTTTTTTTTTTTTTCCCCAAAAGGTTCAAAGCAGGATTCATTACCTGAATCGTATATTATTCGTTTTTTCCTGTTTGTTGGTTTTCGTTTGGAGTCATCTTCATTGGAAGAATTCACCTAACAGTAACAGTGTGTTAGTTCAACAAATAAATACATTCAACCACCACCTTTGCGTTAACTAACCAGGGATGAGGAAGAAAACAAGAAAGAAAACAAAGCGGTAAAGTTAAATATTCTTAATAGCATAATCTACTTTCACTTGAAGCATAAGTATTTGAGGTTTAATGTCAATTAAACTAACCAGACAGACTTTCAAGAACTTCAAGAAGCTCAACTAGAGTACTTAAGGTTCCATTCTGGATAAAGGCTCAGCTGTACCTGCCATATTCCAACATAATTCAAAGTAACAGTCAATAGTAAAGTACTACTGAAGTACAAACTGGTCAAATGCCTTCTATATCACACTGTTTTACCTCACCAAATGTGTGATTTTTATACATGTACATTAACTACGCGTAAGGGCCCTTCTTTAAATATATATACATACAAGCAAAACTATATTAAAAGATATTAGATTCTTCCTACATTAGCACCTGAACATTTAATTTTTATCTCCCTTTGCCCCACAACTCTGATATTTCAAAAATGTGTAACTTTACCACCTACAAAGTTTTGCTGCTATAATAATATATTTAATTAAATATTTATACAAATATTAATGTAATACTATAACAGGTAGTTTCCTCCTATGTCTTTAAAAAAGAACATCTATTCTGTTTCTTGACTATATAGAAAGAATTGTATCTGTGGCTTTTTTAAAGTCATAATCACACAGAGCAACCAAGCACTTTACAAAGAAGAAAACAAAGCCAAACTAACCTTCGCCTCCTTTCCTCTTTTCTTCCCACTTGAGGTCCCTTCCCCATTTTTTATTTTTTCATTCTTTTTCACATTCTCACATTCTTGTCTCTTCCCAGAAGATACAACCCCAAAGAATTTCCGGATATCCTATTAAACAAGAAAATAGAGATTAAACATATATATATAAAAATGTATAATAATCTATACATAATCCTTAGAAGCTTCATGCTACACAAAAGCATTACCCTTCACAGGGCAATTTAGTTCCCCCAGAACTCCTGTGTTACAGTATTTATTGATCTGAACATTTTACTTACAGGCTAGAGAGCAGAGACCACCAAGTTAAATGGAGGGGAGTCTTCAAGTAATTAAGAAGTTCACTTTTCCCCTTAGGTAGGCATCTTTAATACAGCACACTTCAAAACAAACTTCCCTCAGCAATAAAATAGAGCAACTTAAAACATATATAATTCAGATTCTTTTCTTTCACAAACCAAGCCCAAAATACCCTTATGGCTAAAATGACCAACTTGAGTAAAAAATAGTGTCAAATATTTAAAAAAAAAAAAAAAAAAAAAAAAAAAAANAAAAAAAAAAAAAAAAAAAAAAGAAAGGCACTAGGCACTAAGAAGAGCTAGAAAGCTGTCAAGAAATAGCATGTTCACCCTCTTCCTAAAAATTCAGGACAATAAAGATCATCTCACTATGAAACAGATTCAAATCTAAGCAAAAAGGAAAGTTACATTAAGAATCTAACACAGAAAACTGCAGAAGGTCTGTTTTATAATTTACACAGTACCTTGTGATAGAACAATAAGGGAAGGAAAAAAAAAATCTATACATGTAAAAATTAATATTGGAAGCTCCAAAAGAAACAGGGCACTTTTAACACATAAACTTATGCTTTAAAAAAAAAAAAATCAGTTTTATTAAGCAGCAACTTGAGAAAAACAGTACCTGCTCAGGGGCAGCAGCCATTTTTGGGTGCAGAGGGTGCTCTGGGCTGGCCATATAGCAGCTAGGGAGGGCGCCGGGGCTCAGTCAGCCCAGGTGCCCCCCGTCGTCCCCTTCCTCCTCATGGGGTTCAGCTGGTTAGTTCTGCAGCATCAGAGGCTGCTATTCTATATAAATGTGATCAGTGGAAAGCATCTCAGGCTCCTTTTCCCTTACCAGGTCCTCAATTGTTTGGGTTATCAGAGCCCTATAGGGTGAAGACTCCTCCTAAATACTTAATTATATCCTGCTTAGGAAAGGAGGACTTAAGAAAATATATGAAACTAACCTGTGTGCCCCAGTTTCTTCCACTATTTTAAATAAGTTCCCTGAACTGTTAAGGCCCAGAATACAACAGGTAAATTATGATTTTTTGGCTTGTTAGTTCTGAGGAGACGTCAAAAGCTTAGCTCTTCAAAAACAACAGCAACCCACAAAATGAATACCACGTAAAGGGGAACCAAGTTGTTGCAAGATTTAAAAGGGAAAAAAAAAACTTATTGAACTACGGTCACCTTAACAGCTATTACCTTTTGTACTTTCCTTCACTCAAGCCCACCTAACATCTAAAATATAAACTAATGACAGTCAGCTTCTAGTATCTTTGATAATGCTGGTAGGAGCTGATTAAATTAGCGGGTTAAATGAGAATATTTTTTTCTCTAACTCAAAGCAGCATCTTGTACCATCTGTACACAAAGCACCGTGAACAAAAACCATGTGCTTTTTCTGTGTGAAAATATTGTGGTGATAGAGCTACACATTCTAAAAGTACCTCCATATTTTAACATAGCACAATCTATTGTTTTCTTGCTGCAAGTTGCACTTCAGCCCTCAAGAAATGGCTGCTTTTTTTGCCTTTTTTTTTTTTTAAAACTTTTTTTATTGCTACCTGTTTGTGTTAAGGAGTTTCTCAGAAAAAAAAAAATAGTGTAAATAAAATATCACACAGGCCACCTGGAGTTTTTTGACTAAAGGTTTGTACTTGAGTAGTAGATTTTAATTTTGCGGTGACTCAAATACATAGCCCCAGGCAACAAAGGAAATTTGGAAGCTACCTACAATCTTATTCAATCTTCAGTGTTATATATCCTGCAATCTCCTTTGGCCACCCTACTGTTCTGAAGAAAAGGTAACCTTGTTAGACACCACTGGACTAAAACAGATAGTGAATTTAGATTGTTTGCAGAAAAATATGTCATATTGTAATAACAAAGTTGCCTTTCTAAGAAGCTTTCATCAGAGATGAATAAAGGCCAGATTTTTTGGTTCTACTTCTTAGATATCCCAGAAAAATAATTCATTGCACAACTAAATGTGGAAATAAACTGTACATTTATTTTTCAGCTGGATGCATTCAGTTGAGAGGAGACTTATACCAATGTGGCTGAGAAGCTCCCCAAGGGATGTTGCCCCAGAAACCACAAGACTCATCAGTCTTGTGTATGCTGAAAATACATTCACGGGGAGGGCTGTCCTGGCCCATCTCCTTGCCTAGGACAGTGAGATTAAGACGCAGAGCTCTGCGAGTGCCGCTTCCCTTCACTCTTTTAGCAGCAGCAGCGTGAAACACAACTCTAAGCAGTTCTACCTAAATGGGGCTGGCAGGGAATTGCTATGGCTTTGGGTTGGTTTTGGTTTTTACCAATGGAGATCTGAAAATAAACATGAAAAAATTCACTGCCTGGACATAGCAGGTTTAAGGGCATCTTTCAAACCACGGCTGCTAAGCAGGATTCCGCTCCACATCCAGACTGCCACATTTCGCGGAGACCTAGCCCTGCTAGGCAGGGTATTTCTGGTGAGCCGCTGACGCTGGGAGAGGCGCCGGTGCCCCGCGGGGCGCAGAGCTGCGCCGCTGCAGCCAGGTCTGCGCCGCTGCCTGCTGAGCCGCCTGCACAGCCTCCTCCGTGGCCCCTGCTCTGCTCCTTCAAACCCGCAGCCCTACGCACAAGCAGCACGCAGCACAAGTTCAGCATGCCAGGCTGCAGGTTTTCTCTTGAGAGATTCCAGTCAGTTTGACTGGGGAGGATTAGAATGAGGCCGATATTGAAACTTAAACCAATATGTGAGTGCAAATACTGGCTACTCAGATCGCTTCTCAGGGCAACTTTTAAGGCTTTAGCTAATACTCAAGTTAGAAAATGAAGTCATAAAAGCTGTCCTTGCAACACTGCTCTTATGAACACTCCAAAGTGTTCATCAGAACACTTATGAAGAAGTGTTCTTATAACTCACATATGAACACATATGAACACGTATGAACACTCCTATGTCTTTCTGTCATATTTTTTCCTGCATTTTAAAAACATCCTAAATCAAAGCCCCTAGAAAAACAGAATTTCAGTACACAGCTGTTCCAAAGCCTGGATGATGTGCCACCCTGTGAGAACATTCCCTGTACACAGAGCACTGCATTGTGCGCAGCACGCGCAGTCTTGTTAACTTGTTTACTTGACTCGGGTCAAGTAAAACAGACTGTTTTTCAGAATAATGTTTTTACAACTGAGTTTGCATCTCAAAACTACACTGTGAGGCAGAAAATTGAATTTCTTTGGCCTAGCTCAATGACTGCAGTGACAGTAATGCAATTTAATTTAGGTACTTCGATGTGTGCCCATATGAGCTTTGAATCAAAGAAATAATTTGTGCTCATTTACAAGCCTGACTGCTTCAGTGCAACTTTGTGCATCAGCTTTGGCATCCCCCAAAACTACAATAACTGAAATGAAATATAAACTATTGCCTCAGTTAAATCAGTAATATCAGCATGGATACTCATATTAATGGAAGCACAAGTTGCACAGGCTACACAGTATATTTTAGAACAATATTATTATAGTTCTAAGTGATACCAAGTCATACTACAGTTATGGCCATTTGAATGTTTCTGACAGCAACAGAGGCAGCTCAAGCAGCTCCTATCACCAGGCATTCGTTCCCTCAGTTGCAGGGGTAAAGCTCTCCGCACGGTACCACCACCAGGGAACTAATCTGGATAACAGTAAATCCTTTCTAACACAAAGCAGTTCAGTAGAACTGGGGCGATCTTGCAGAACGGAGCAGATTTAGCCCTACATGAATCACAGAATGGGGAAGGTTGGAAGGGACCTCTAGAGATCATCCAGTCCAAGCCTGCCCTGCTCGAGCAGGGACACCCGGAGCACGTGTCTGTTTACAAGAGCACATTAAATGCCAGTATGTTTGTGTGGTCAAGGCACGGGGCACGTTACTCTGACTACGTTTTCCATCCCTCTCCACAGCTGCAGAAGAAACGGTTGCGCTGCCTCTTCAGGCCGGGAAAAGGGATGCACTGAGCAAACTCATCCTCCCTTCCCAGGAACGGGGATGGTTCCTCCTCCTTTCTAAGAGAGGGCCCAACTTTGTGGGATGTGCACTCCTCAGAAGGAGATGACAGGGAGGGAGACAGCTTTTATGCCAAGAAGGTGGGAAAGGGGGAGGCAAATCTTTCTTGTCTTCCTACATAATCCAGGCCATCAGCCCTGCTGACATTATCAAAAGAGCGTGGTTTAACAGCATCCGGATTTGTAGCATGGGCAGATCTCTCCGCATCACTTTGTGGTATTGCCCATCACTGCTGCCTGGTGCAAGGTGTAAACACGGCCAAATTCTAGGTAAACTTAAAGGATTTTAAAACCAGAACTGAAAGAAGCTGGCATAGAGGGTGCTTGGTTAAACCGCTAACAAGCTGCATGCAGATCGCACCAAGGCAGAAACAAATTTAACCAGTCAAGACAGAATTCAGCCCCGCAGCGGCTGCGTGAGCAGGCAGCACACTGGAAGGCACACGGGGGTGCCAGTATTTCAGGGTATTCACACCGCCAGGGGAGGGGGCCTCCTTCATTACCTGAACTCGTGCCCCCTTGCAGCCCACGCTCCCCTGCTCCGGGCCGGCTGCCCCCCTGCACGGCCCATCTGGGGCAGGAGAGCCCCCCGGGCCCTGTACAGACTCACGGGCCGGCAGAACCCGGGCCGGGTCCGGCTGGGGAGGCCAACTCGCTCCCTGCACACAGGGGCCGGGGCCAGGGGGCCCCCCTTGGACACCCCGCACCGGTTTCCACCATGGGCCCGAGGGAGGACGGGGCTGCAGGGAGCCACGGCCGCCCCCGCGCCGCCCAACACGGGCCCGGCCCCAGGGCGGCAGCGGGACAAGCGGGCCCACAACCCTCCCACCCGCCGCGCCCTGAGGGGGGCCCAGCCCAGCGTACGCGGCGCCCCAACGGTCCCAACGGCTCCAACGGCCGCTGCCGCGCGCGGCCCGGCCCCGCCGGCGGGAGATTGCGCAGCGCTCCCTGCCGCCCGCTCCCGCCCGCCCCGGGGGCGCCGCGGCGGCGGGGGCGGTGCGGGCGGCGCCGCGGCGCTCACCATGCTGCTGGCGGCGGGTGACCGCGCTCCTCAGCAGGAGGCCGCCGGCTCCATCCCCCCCGGCCCCGCTTCGCGCCAACTGCGAACACGCGGCGCGCGCCGCTGGCGTCACAGGCGCGACCGCCGCGCGGGCCGGCCCCGCCGCGGCGCCATCTTCTGCGCCGCGCGCCGGCCCCTTCCTCCTTCCTCTTTCCCTCCTTTCTCCTTCCCTCCTTGCTCCGTGTTGGCCTCAGCGCGTCCCCAGTACGGCGGCTGCCGGCCCCGCCGCAGCGCAGCCGCTGCGAGGCCGATCGGAGTCAGCCGCAGCGCTGAATTCACCTCCCTGACGTGTCTCGAGGGCTACACGCAGTTGGACTCTTGTCTTTCACAGTCCTGCAGGGAGCCTTAGACTTGGTTTTCCCTTCGTTAGTTTCCACCATTCATTAAGGCCTAGGAGAGTTCACAGTCTGGGCCTGAGGTTTCAAAGAGGAACAAAAAGCTCAATCAATCTACTGACTTAAAGCTATCTTTCTATTTTTTTTTTAATCTATATTTCATTCTTCACCCACTGAGTATTGGGAGAGAAAAAATATCTAAGGCAATCCAACAAAAAAAAAAAAAGTTCCATTCTTAATATAAGTTACCAGTTATGGCTCTGTTCTACCAGCTTATTGAATCCTTATTCATTGCTAGTCTTGGGGGAAGAAGAAGGGGGGGAAAAAAAAAAAAGATGAACCAAATTTATTACCTTAAAATGCTGCTGCCATTGGTTTAGGGAGGCACTCGTAAAGAATGAAGGGTACAAACTCAAGCCGCACGCGTCTTGCAGGACAAATCATTTGTTTTCCTGCTGCATTCGCTTCATTTGCTCTTTCTGTACGAGGCGTCACGGGCAAACTCCCTGCAGAGAGAACTGCAAAGATAACCACATAGACGTTTTTGCCTGACCTGAGAGCACATACATATACATCATATCTTTTACTACTTCTGTTTAACTCCTTGAATTGGGCCGTAAGTAATTTTAAGGCCCTGCTTTTAGAGAAGCTGCTGCTGTTCTTTTGTGAATTCATACAGTCAGATGGACTCTTTACTTAATATTTTTAGTATTAGCATAGCTTGTGAATTAGCATTTCTGCCTTAAAAATGAAAGAGGAAGCAAGTAAAATGTTAAGCCACAGCACAGGCAGTGATTTCAGTACTTTTTTTTTGCAAATTATGCCATAAATCTTGGACTGTAATGGCTATGTAAACAAAATGATACCACTTTAGAAAAGCAACTCTAATTACATGTTTGTATTTATATATTTAATTCTCATTAGATCCTTTTTAAAGCTGCACAGATTCCTGATACCAAAATTAAGAGTAGTTAAAATGGCTGACACTTGTAAGAGCCACACAAACTGTTTAAATAATATTAAAGAATTATTGCAGGTGGTTATCTATGTTTGTGTTTGATAAAGCTACCTAGAATAACATCAAGCTGAGCGGTATGTGCCTCTGGGCTTGTGACATGTCCATGTTTCTCGGAAGGCAGGAGTTTAACCCTTTGCATAAAGTAGATCACCCCAGATACCTGGAATCACCATAATTCGCTTCTGGTTACAGTGGAGAAACTAGAAACTCTGCTCTCTTTCTATGTGCAAGGGTATGAAACTGCTGGGAACCTTGTGCTGGAAACGAGACCGAATACTCATTGTTTTATGATGTACTTTGTCAGATAAAGACAGTAACACATTTGCTCCTATCACTGATACTGGGTGCTGTTTTTAAAAGCATATGATCCAATATAAAGTACTGTCTAAAAAATAGCTGAATACTCTCGATGTTATCATCCTACTTATAACTAAACCAAATAATCAAATCAAATCCTTATTGTTGTTAGTGAAAACCTTGTCTTTTTTTATTGAGAGAGGAGGCTGTGTGAAGAAAATTTCTTCTCATGTGGAGAAATATGTATTAGTCATTTTTCTTTTTTTGTTAATATTTTTGGTTCATTTTATATTTCAATTTGCAATTTTAATATGCTAATAAAATTTTAGAACTGAATCAGCTTTTATCATAACTGCTTTGAAGCAATATTTTCTGCAGAGTTAGACAAATTTTGTAATTTCTGTTACTTGAAGCTTAGTTGAAGTATAAAGCAGATAAACTTGTTACACAATGCAGAGATTTGGCATCCACAGGGCAGCGTTTCTCAGTGGTCTGAGTGCACATTACTGATGCACTTCCATCGTTGAAAAAACCCTTGCCGTGTGTCCTGGCACATGGCTGACATTCTTTGGCCCTCGTGTGTCATCAGAGGACCTCACAGGATAAGGATTACTCTCAAGAAAAATTCTATTATAATGCTGTGAAGGAAGACACACCGATATGTTTCCTGAAATTAAAATTTCATGTTACATTCAACATTTTTTAAAGGACATTGATAAATATTGAAATATTCACTTACTAGATGTTAATTTCTCTCTTTTGCATTAATTCTTTAGGGAGCATAGTATTTATTAAAATCTCTAATAAAAATAAAGGATTTTCTCTTGCACTGTAGAAATAGCAAATTGTATTTTGAGCAGACCAAAAATTCCGAAAATTCCTTTAAAATCTGTGATCTAGTTTCTATTTACATGAGGCTTTCCCTAGTATCCAGTCACAGTTTTGTGTCCTTAGAAAAGATTTGATCCCACCTCAAACAGCTTTTGCTGTGTGAGGAATGTAAGGTAATGTTGATATGCTTTACATTATTGAGAGCAATTACATAATCTAAGTTGTGACTTTTGAACGCTTAGAACTACTATGTTAATGTAAACATTACACTTTTTCTAAGTGAACTTTGTCCTTAAATCTTTTCGCTATCTTCAGGTGAATACCTAGAGGCAGAATGGCTGTGTCTTAACTCAGGCTAACACTGTGTGCGCTCAACCTCCGTTCTTCTTGGCCGATGTGCTCAGCGTTTCTGTGGGTCAAACCACCACCAAATAACAGGAACACATAATTAATGGTCAGGTGAAAAGTTGGTTTCATGGTTTTAATCGGTTATTTTGGCAAAGGTGAGGACAGAAAAGGGAAATTGTTAGGTGAGAGTTGAACTGCACAAGCGTGGGGCTGTGCAGCTGCGGCGAGTGCTCCAAGCAGCACAGGCTCTTCCCGCCTCCGTTCATTCTCCAAGAGGTTTCACGCAGCGCAGGGACATGGCAGGACATGGCACCGCGAAAGGTGACGCCGCAGCACCCGGAGGGAGCCCGTTCTCACTTCTGCCACCTGCGGTGGTGGCACAATCCATTCCTGCCTCTTCCCTCGCCCTCGCTGCGCGCCCTCGCTTCCCACAGAGTGCTGATCTCACTGGTGTGTACGGCTTGTTCTGCAGATGAACACTCGCAGCCTTTCCTTTCCCCTGCTCTTTGCCCAGCTAATATAACCTCCTTCCCAAGTTCAAGTCCTTATATGACTCTCGGTGGTTTAATCTCCTCCTCTCACTTCATCAAGAAACATCACAGCTCAAACCGTTAAATTGGCAAAGAAGAAAGAAAGTAGTTTCAGGGTCTTGTAGGAACCTTTTGAAACCGTGATTCACAACCTTGCTCACAGTCTTATCAATAACAGGGAAAGAAATCCAACTCATAACTTTGTCTGGATTCAGGATTTGTGAGCACAGGCTCTGCTGCACCTCACGTCTCATGCTGGTGCACCAGGTGGTCTGTCTGCAGGAAGATGCAGGTTGTAGCAGCCCTGCTGCCGCTCCTGGGGAGAGGCCGCTTGTCGCTGCACGGCCGTGGTGGTAGCAGAGCTGCCCTGGGGGTATTGATCTCAAACATCAGGTAGTCGCTGGAAACAGTCTACTTCTTGGTGTCCATAATGACTCGTATTTAGGTTTTCTCTTTCATCAAGTATCATATATGCAGTCAAAGCATTTAAAGCATTAAAATGGGAGGATTACAGTCATGCATTAACTATCCCAGTATGTTTTGCAAAGTGCATGATAGGAAAGAAACATGCTGAACTTGGTATCTTTCCTCCTGATTTCCAAAACGACCTCTGTAGGGTCCTGCTGAGATGTGCAGCGGTTGTTCCAGGTGCCTAAGGGAGTGCTGGATTGGCGATGTTGGTTATGTTGGTTATGTTGGGCAGAGTGTTTGCTGGTGACTGCCCTCCATCAGAGAGCTGCAATGCCTAAGTTTGCTAAGAGTTTCATCTGTGATGGAACTGCTTTGCATAAAGGTGATGCAGAGAATGGCTTACGAATAAACATTGAGATAGGTATTTTGTTGTTTGTTGTAAAAGGAAACATACACCACATTTACAGCTTTCTAGCAACTAAACCACACAGTAATAAAATGTCTTCCAGTGCTTTAGCCAGCATCGTTGTTAAACCAAAGGTATGTGTAAGAGGCGTGATGCAATGCTGTGCAAAGACCTTCCAGCTGTCTGCAAACACGCTCTCCTACGCAGCAGGATCTCCAGAGCGGCCGCCCATCCGCGCTCTGACCTCCTGTGTGCTGGCAGAGCCAGCGCGCTCAGGCGGGACGCCGGCCTCGGAGCCGCTGCTCCCGCGCGGACTTCAGCGCATCTCTGCGCTTGTGCGGAGATGCTCCGTGTGGCCTTTTGATTCCGGGAATCTGTTCAGCACCGTGATCCAGAAATGAGTACATCCCACATCACACATATTTAATTTATCGACACATAGGTTCTGCTGTAATTTTGCTTTTTTAAAAGATGAGACTATATTCAAAAATATTGTATCACTGCACTGTAAAGGATCCACTGTACCAGCATATATAAAGATTACTAAATTAATCAGTGCTGATGTAACATCTTCCAGGGTAATTTATCAATGCTAATCTTCATACAAAAAAACCCCAATGTGAATTGCGTAAGAACTGGAACGGACCTGTGTTAATTTAGTCCTGTTACCATACATAGAGCTTTACACCAGACATACATAGGATATTAAAACATATATTTTTTGAATGAAATACTTGCTTTGCGTTTTAAGTGGGGTGTTTTTATACCTCTTCTTCATACAGAATTTTCCATGTGAATCCGGGCAGGGTTTTCCTGCAGAAGTAGGATCATGTTTGAGC